ATAGGTATTTAATATAGCAGTTTATTGGAAAATAAAAGTGAGTTTTTCTACAAGTATATAGCTTTATCTAAAATGGAAGAATTATGTAGCAGTAAGCTTACTTTTTAGGGTTTTCTTTCCTTTTCAATAACTTTTACGTTGTGACTGAAGTGTTTTTCTCTTAATTAACCAGGTTATCTTTGTTTTCTAGTACATGTTTTTATGATGTTAGCCTTCTTGTATATATGTGAAAAGGTTTTTCAAACTGTGTGTGTACAAAATATTCTTGAGTGGGCTTTTGGGGAAGAGGGGCAGATGAGAATCTCAGGTGTATTAAGAAAAGTGTAAGGCAGATTTGCCAAAGGAGCTTTAAAGGTAAAAATTGAGTTTATCCTATATGTCATAAAGACATAAAAGAAGATTTTTGCAGATCCTGACTAAACGATTAATAATTTTAAAGAAGTGTTATCAAAATTTATAAATTAGACTCTTTTGGAATAAAAATTTAAATTTGAGACCATTTCATTTAACATGTACTCACATTCAAATTATGTGTATTGGCAGTAATATAATGAAGGTAATAAATGAAAAAAATATATTATTTTAATTAAATACTGCTAGTATATAAAGTTCATTTTAATATTTAGTGTAGAATTTCAATGTGGATGTTGGAAAAAATTCATAAACTGCAAAAATAAATACATAGTTTAAATGCTGCAGCTTTAAATTTTGCATTTTTTTTTAACTTAGAAAACTTAACAGTGAATTCGGTTGGGTTAGATTAGGTTAAATTTAATGATTACTTCCAAAGAATAAAAATGTATTTAAAATGAAACAAATTGAATTAAGAATTGTAAAACTTTCATACTTCTATTTATATTCTATGTGACAGAGATAGTATATTGCCAAGCGATGAACTGCTTTTTGTTGACCACTTTACCATCAAAAATTCATTTTTATTTTCTAGGACAACAGCATTGTTTCTCATCTTTCCCACTGAATTTGTGTTGATTTCATCTTTACACTATTAGTGAAGTTAGTAGCATTTTATTTTTGTTAAGGAAAAGTAAAGCTTTAGATGGTTACAGTAAAACTAAAAGATCATTGGTACAGTTTTATTTAGATTTAGGTTTCAATCTGTTGACTCTGCTTTGTTTATCTCCTTTGGCTAATGGATTTATACATGAGAATATTTTTTTTCTTAGTGCCTTCTGTCCTTTTAAACTGCTTAGGTATTAAATTCTGTTTATCTTATTTTTATATTAGCTAAGAAGATTACAGTTTAAATGGACTAAAAGTTATTGGAATATTTATTAAACTATATGAAACTATGTTATTGAGAACTGTGGTTCTTTAGATAGCTTTCTCCTTTAGGAATAAACATTTCCTATATAGTAGATAAATTAAATTATAAATTAATTTTATATGGTATAATCCCCATCTGGATATTTGGCCCTTCAGGAATAAAATTTTTTTATCATCATTGTGACAAGTAAAAGCATTGCTTTTGTGTAGAAGAACTTGTATTTAGATATCAGTTATGCAGTTGGGTCATAACTTTATAAATAAAGAAAATAATGCTATATAGTTTTTCAGTTTTCAAGAATACATTAATCATTATTTTACTGAATTGTTGAATTTCTTAATTTTTTTATTTTTAAAACTTCTTATTAAAGAATTAATATTTAAATGCGTGCTCAGTAAGAATGGTAAAAATACAGGCTAAATTGGCATAAAATAGCTTAATGTCAATTTATTTTTGCACATTGGAACAATATTTTGCTTATTTCTGGTTATTGAACTTTTTTTATAGTGCTAAATGTTCACTTTTAAAGCAGCATTTTAAAAACAGTATTAACAGTTGTTTATAGAAGGTTTTTCTTAGTCTAAAATTGTTTTGGAAGGTAGCCAAAATTATATTCCTCTCCATAGAAGAGAGTTAATTTGATGTTTATATTATATATAAGATTTGCTGACATTTGATTCATTAACTTGGCACCTAGACTGAAAATTATTTCACTGTATTAGAAATGCTTTAGGGATATTTATTTTCTTTGTAAGTGGAGAGTGAGCACCACCTGTTGGTCAACCTGCAGTATTTTAAATTGTAAATTCAAACGTTTTGGTTGAATGACAGTATTCCTCACTTCCTGAGGTTCATGTATTATATAACTATGTCACAATGTAGACATTGATCTAAAAATTGTCTCATAAAAATATCTGATAAAATTTATCATAATGCCTTTATTATTATAGATTATGAAATGATCACTGTTTATTACATGTGCTGCTTAAGTTTTCTTAGCTTTGCCTCATACTACTTATGTTATCTTTTCTAGGAGATAAATGGTATTAACCATGTGTTAAGAATAAGCCTGTGTGTTCACTTATGTAGATTACTACATGCATGTACAAAGATATCAACCTGAGGGAGAATAGACAATTCCAGTGTTACTATCTGTTCTTTATATGGATAATACTAGATTTAATGTTTAGAAAATAAAATAGCTTTTACTTTGTCTTGAATATCCATTTAAAGGTAAAAGATATGTCTTGAATATCCATTTAAAGGTAAAAAATATGTAGTTGTTTTATAAGTGACAATGAAGACTTATAAAACAATTACTATTTTTATTATAGTCGTATACTTAAAATTTTAAACTTTTATCATACTAAATATGTTACTTTTCTTTGAAATGGATGCTCATAACTCAACCAGGTATTAATAAAACAAAGTGTTAATTTTAAAACAGTTAATTTTACTGGCAGATATTAATATATATATTAATAAACTAAACCTTTTAAAGAAAATCACTAAGAATAAGACTGAATTGATGTCTGGTGATCTCAAATTTATTTAAAATACTGGCAGCTGGGGAGATGGCTCAGTAGAATAAGCGCTTGCCTGGCAAGTACAAGGGCCTGAGTTCAAATCCCAGTTCCACCAAAAAAAAAATTTATTTAAAATGCATATTCTTTAAGACTATATATTTGGCAGAGCGCAGCAGCCAGAGTTTGACCCGGGCTGTGCTGTGCTGGCCCAGCCCCCAGGGTGCCCTGAGACAGTGATTGAGACTGGGTGTGTGGTCGTTCACTCCTGTAATCCTAGCACTTGGGAGGCTGAAAACAGAAAAATCATTGAGTCTGATCTATGTAGTGAGACCCTGTACACCCTATACACCCTTTAGACCCTGACCTAAATTCATTTAAAAAAAAAATAAACAGAAGCACTAAATATAAAAGATAGCTCTGATACTTCTTTCCTTTCCTGACATCAAAGTGAGTGCTACAGCTGTATCAAAGTCTTAACTCATGCATTAATAATATACAGTAAATAAATCCGTGCCTTTGGGTTTTAGGGAGGTTGATCTTTTTATTTTAGCTCTTCCAAGTAGAAATCATTCACTGCTAATATTAGATGTATTTTTATCAAGAAAGTATAAAAAAGCAAAAAAAAAACATGATTAAGAAAATTAGATTGCATATACTCCATGAGACTTAGATTGATCCCCTGTGGTGGGTGGAAGAAGGAGCTATATTGGTGTTTCATACAGAAAGTAACTTCCCTCCCCTTTCGTCCTAGTCCCTCCCTTCCCCTCCTCCTCTCTCTCCTTTCCTTCTTTGTGATGCTGGGGATCAAACTCAGGGAAAATGCAAAGTAAGCTTTCTGCCACATACCTACATCAACAATCCTGATTTTTAATATAGAAATCAGGGCTTACAATGTGAGTTATGTTTGATTGTTTTAAATAATAAATTATATCTTGATTCCCCTCAACCCCTTTTGCTTTTTTCTGTATCCATTTAATGTTACTACTTTTTCTAATTTTTAAAGCTAGAAATTTAAGATAGGCCTTGATTCTTCCCTGTTTTTCATCTTTCTTGTAGAAATTTAGTTTCTAAGTTTTGGAAAAATCTCTTCATTTCTTCTCTTCTCCTTAGTACTATTCTAGTTCAATGCTGTTCTTTACTTCAGAGAGGTTTCTATCTAATGTTAATCTCTGTAGGTTTTTTTTTTTTCCTCTTCTGTCATGTCTTCAATAGTACTGAAAAGTGTTTTTCATTTTACTTTATTCCTCTACTAAAACAGTTGACTTGTCATTTGAAAATATTCTTCCTTGGCTCTTGATTGCCTAGTATGCAGTCAAGTTCTTAGGATGGCCCTTACTGTTCCAGTCAACATTTCTAGTGTTTTTTCCTTTCTCTTCTCACTATTTGAAACCTGAGGTACAGGTCACATGTGAAGAATCATTCATATTGATTCAAACTCATTGGGCAGTTGAATCATATTGCTAGAAGATCTTATCATCAAAGAGATTATTAGTTTTATGTATAGCTGTGAATTATTTGAAAACATTAACAGGGTGATTTCTGTTTTTTTTTTTTTTATCTTTGGATTCTAAATCTGAAGGGTGGTCCTTGACATACCAGATGAGGTGGCACATGCCCATAATTCCATACAAGAGGTTGACATACAAGAGGTTATGTTCTTAATTGACATACAAGGGTTATTCTTTCTGTTGAAGAGCATGGACTATGGAGTAAGACTGACTTGTAGTTCTCCTACTTTTTCTTCAAGCAAGTTTCTTGATTCTTTATCCCTCAGCTTTCTCTTACATAAAATTTGGATTATAATAAGATCTATTTCATAGGATTATTGAAAAGATTAGTGTGTTATATAGGTAATGTGCTTGGTACACAGTAAATGTTCAGTAGATTTTAACAGCGATTATATTTATTGTTTAAAAATAACATTAAAACAAATAAAACTAAATTTCAAAATTTGAAATATATCCAGATGTAGAACAATTTTTTTTTTTTTTTTTTTTTTTTTGAGAGAGGCTCTTGTTCAGGCAGGCTTTGAGCTCACTGTTAGCTAGGCAGGCCTTGAACTCATGGTGATCCCTCTGCCCCGGCCTCCTGAGTGTTGGAATTATGGGCATGTGCCACTACATCTGATAGGAGCAATATTTTTCAAAGATCATTTCTTATAGTAAAATATCACATTTTAATGTTAATTTGAAATCTTTTCTTGGCCATCTTGTTTAAAAAAACTAAACTGAGAATTGAATTTTATAAGGAATAGACTCAATACAATGTTCAGATTTAAAAAGTATACATTTATGAAATTATTTTGTGTTAAATTTGTCACTTTTGTTTTACTAAGTAAAATAAATACATACTAAATAGCAATTGAAATATCTTGAAATAGAGGGGCTGGAGAGATGGCTCAGTGGTCTGGAGCACCTACTTAGAACAAGCTTGGCAAGGCATCAGGGACCACGGTTCAATCCCCCAGCACCACATGCCAGCCAGCCCCGCCCCCTGGTGGGCTGAGCTGGCCACACACACCTCTCTCTCTCCCTCTCCCTCTCTCTCTCTCTCTCTCTCTCTCTCTCTCTCTCTCTCTCTCTCAAATAAATAAAAAATAAAAAAAATTGAAATATCTTGAAATAGAGTAATTAAGAACATAAACAACTTGCCATATCTTTTTATAAGTTGACTTTTAGATTTCAAATGAGTTGTCTTTTTTCCAAGAGAGCTAATTTTAGTGATGTCAGTAAATGGCTTTAAAGGACATCTGTGGGGTATCTGAAGTAAGTCATCTTTTCTTTTTCTATTTATTTATTTTTATTTGTTTGTTTATTGTTGTACTGGAAATTGAACTTGGGACGTCAGGCTTGCCAGGCAGGCTCTTTGCAGCTGAACTATGTCTCCAGCACACTAAGTCATCTTACATCAAAACTTACCACAGAAATAGACTAGCTCAAGACTGATAATGTTTATAAAGTGTTTAGTGTAGTTTTACCTTTTTCATTTTTTGTTGGCTTGATGAGTTTTCTCATCACTATTTTTAAAAAATGAAAAATTTATTTATTCTTTTTGAGACAGAGTCTCACTGTGAAAATCAGGCTGACCTTCAGCTCACTTCCTAGCCCAGGCTGGTCTTGAACTCACAACGATCCTACTGCCTCAGCCTCCTGAATGATGGGATTACAGGCATGTGCTGGGTGTCACCATGCCCAGCTTCTCATCACTTCTGGCCAAGGTTGAGATGAAGATTTACCTGATTGGTTTTAGATGGCTTTTGAAGAGTTTTATAGTTTTAGGTTTTACATTTCAATGTTCGATGCATTTTGAGTTGGTTTCTGTTTATGGGGAGATACTGTAGTTTTTGTCATCTTTGTATGGATGCCACTTACTGAGGATGTTTTTCTCCAGTGTGTAGTCCATTGCTTTAAAAAAAATGAGTTGTAAATGTATAGATTTTTCTGGGTTCTTTATTCTCATTTATTGATATATGTGTCTGTTTTATGCCTATACAGTGCTGTTTCGGTTAGTATAGATTTGCAATAAGCTTTAAACAAAGATATTATAATACTTCCAGCTGTATTCTGTTTACTTAGAATTGTTTTGAGTATTCAGGATCTTTGTGGTTGTATACAAAGTTTAGAAGTGTTTTGTCTTTTCTTATGTTTGTAAGAAGATTCTAATTAGTATTGTGATAACAGTTGCATTCAGTGTGTAGGTTGCTTTTGATACTATGGAATTTTTAACAATATTAAGTCCTTCAGCCCATGAACATGGGATGTCTTATCTTTTTTTTTTTTTTTTTTTTTTGACTAGCTTGTCAATTTTTTTTGGTGTTTTTATTTTTATTTTTTTGCAGTAATATTCTTATTTTTATTCCATAATTTTATTGATAAATAGCAATGAGACAGTTTCAAATCAAATTGGTAGGACAATTTCAATAATCAACACATTGCATACATTCTTCCCAGTGGCTAATTGCTGTACAAGATGCGGACATGATATCCTATTTACAAACACCATCAGAACAGATCATTCTATTCATTAAGAGAATGTAACTATATATCTATCCTAACCAATTTGAATACACAGATACAAAATGGACATTCATCTGTATCCCATCTTTTTGTTAATTTCCGTTATTTGAATGTTATAGGTGTGAAAACTCAGCAAAATATTCTAAAAGAGTCCAGTAGCCCATAATAATATTGGGTCTTCCGCTTTACTGGCAATGTCAGAAATTGTTGACCTGAGTACCCTAGAGCTCAACATAACAGCATGGCTTTACTTCTTATATTTCGTTTTTATACTTTTCTACTGGATGGTTCAGACCAAGGTAAAGCAGGACCTATGCAACAAGAGTTGTAGCTTTTGGGT